GAGATCAGAGGGGGAGAGGCGGTTTGCCTTTGCCTGTCACCAGCATAAAAGCAAAACGAAACCGTCTTTTGAAGGGCTATGGAGTTGATGCCAGCCTCTACATAATCTAAGTTTCAATCCTTATCAAGCACGTATTCACTTGAAAACAAAAGTCCTAAGAATTCATGTTTCAGCATAATACCATCTGGGTAGAGACTCAAACAACCCAAAGTGCCTTGTAAGCGCTCAACGCTCTGAATTTCAACGAACAGCAAACACTGCATGAATCATGTTTCTTGAAACTACTCAACTTCAAGCTTTATGCATGCAAAGAGAAAATTAATTTCAGGTTTGCTGTAACTGCATAGATAGCTTGGCTTACAAGGCCCTGAAGACGGATAAGTTCCTTCTGAATGTCAACAAGGGTCAAGTCTTGAACGTTCTTCACGCAGGGAACCACTAAGCCGCCGGGTGCATCGATCGCAACGCTGACGTTATGGTTTCCGAATTCAGTGTACTGCAGCGCAGAACAACCTCCATTTCAACTGCAACTAGTCAAGAAAACAGCCTTGGATTGAGTGGAAATAAAAGGAAAAGTGGCAGAGAAGAGGTCATCATAAACTTGAAACGAACGACCAAGAAAGGCGAACAGTCTATTCATCTTTCTCACCGAGTTTTGGGTTTGCGTGTTGAATTTTGAGTTGACGATGGGATATTCGTCCATAGCAATGCTCATTGCTTTAATTAAAAAGGCAGTGAGGGAAATCCTGACGCCTTGAGAACCCAATTCGTTGTTCAACACTTTCCTTACTTCAGTCAAGCGCGTCACGTCGTACTCGTCGCCGATGTTCATATGCGGAACTTTCAGAGATTCTGTCATGGACTAAACAAGCATAAACACAAACAAACACACAGACAAATATAATGAAAAACACAAAGAAAAAACCCAGGCCAACAAACACACCCATGCCAGCAGCACCGCAGCAGCATCAACAACCGCAACAGCAGTTGCAGTTGCCCGTTTTCTTCCTCTGTTATCCTTTCCCCTTCATGCTCTAAAGTATCCAACGCGCCCAACACCCTTATATACGCCTAAAGCAAAGGTATATACTAGTTACTGCTACCTTGTATAACCCAATGAAAGACACTGCGCACTACTTGACAATTCAATTTCGCCACCGCACACATGTATATCTCTTTACTATATATATATATATATATATA